CCCTCTCTTTGCCTGTCTCTTTCATCCGCTCTCCCTCTCCCTCTCTGTCTCTCTCTCTCTGTTCTCTCTTCTCTCTCTCTCCCCCTCTTTCTCTCCCTTCTCCCTCTCTCTCTCCTCCCTCTCCCTCTCCTCTCTCTCCCTCTGTCTCTCTCTCTCCTCTCCCTCTCTCTCTCCCTCTCTTTGCCTGTCTCTTTCATCCGCTCTCCCTCTCCCTCTCTGTCTCTCTCTCTTCAACGTCGAGCTTGAACGTTGCCGCCATCAACCGCACATCCCCTCCTCACCCCCGTCCATCACCCCACCCCTACCCCTGTGAAACCCGATATACAGCAACACATACACACATACACGCATGCACGCACACGCGCGCGCGCACGCGCGCGGCAGCGCACTCACACACACAACACACAACACACACACAACGCACGAACGCACGACACACACACACACAACACACACACACACACACACACACACACACACACACACACACACACATCACACCACACACACACACACACACACACACACACACCGCTGCTCTCTTACTGCTAGCTATAATAATTAAACAGTACTGCCGTGGCGCTCACTCATGGCGGCAACAGTTCGCGACACACCGAAACGCCTATCAATTAAGAAAACCATTTAAATAACAATGACGATGGATCATACGGTCTGGGTAACCCACTGCTATATTCAGACATCGGATGATTGTGTGTTGCTGCATGTAATCAGGGCATGGATTCAGCAACGTAGAGGGAATCACTGATTGAATCGACGACCCAGTGATGCTGGAACACTATCTCAGGACGCTACCACTGGATTAAATGCCCGTGCTTATCATGGCATCCGACATATCTTACGTACCGACACATCGACAGAGAAATACCGACTTCTTATAGCGGCCATTCGATATTTCTAGGTTATTTTAGACGGTGAATACGCTAACTGGGAAGAATTACCATAAATAAACGATTCGCAAACGGCCTCACGGCCCCGTTTCATCCCTGACATTGCGACGAAGATGAGAAATAAAATAAATACGCAAATTCTTGCATGACTCATTTCTCATTCAGCACCCCCCCCCCAACCGACATCGCTCTAGAATTCATCACTTCACTGCAAAAATTCTTCAGCGTGAGGCAAGTTAACTCCGAGGGGAAGGAAAGAAAGAAGAGGGAGGAGGAGAAGGAGGGTGAGGAGGAGGAGGAGCATTTTAACACCAGCTTAACACAATCACGTCTAAAAAAACTAAGCGTTTCCACGGTTTGAGGCGTTAGCCCGGTACGGATTTCGTAAAAGCAAAGCTCGCCAGACTTCTCTGGACATTACTGTCTATTCAATAATATTGCTAGTAGAATGCAGTTGAAAAAGTACAAAAGCTCTAGCAAAAAGCAATAAGTTAATGCATCGTCAACGTGCAAGTCAACGCATGTTCCAGCATGCCCGCGAGACGTCAACCCACAATCAACACCGAATCAACAAACATATCGGTGTGAATTCTACAAGGAGGGGGGAGGGGCACAAACACACACACACACACACACACACACACACACACACACACATGATAACACACACACACACACACACACACACACACAACAGACCCCGGTGTCTTCTGTTTCCGGTTCTGTGGCAGCACCAGAGTAATTCGTGGCGACGGAGGCTGTACCCCTCAACGCAGGAATACATACATACATACATACATACATACACACTCACACGTTCGGGGTGCAGGCGGGAAAAATGGAGTCACGTGCAGAGAATACCAATACATTACATGTTGCTTATATCGGCATAATTGATATGATTGCAGTGTGGTATCACTGAGACATGCGTGCCATAATAGAGTCACGTACGCGGCTTATTTCTCCATTCTGTGTTTGCGTCTCAGCAAGTGCCACTCTCGCCATGCTGTTGTCTCGGTGCGTAGCAACTCACAGCATGTTTGGCCCTAGAAGCCATTGGATAGTTAATCTTCTTTTGCCGGAAAGCCCGGATAGACAGTCGAGTTCACGGGAAGGCCTGATATGCAGTCATGTCGTGTCGCCAAGATAAGGGCAGATGTACGCAGCAAATAAGGTTTAGGCAACAATATAATAAAACATGGGATACTGCTATACCTTTCTTAATTTTGTATTCACTTTTATTGGTGCGGCGGGAGAAAAGCGAAATGTCAGTAAACTAGTGGCAGTCTAATTTTCAATGTTGCCATACAGAACAGACTAGAAGAGAATAGGATGAGTTTCGAGCGGTTCTAATTTATTTATTAACAATCTATAGTGTTTAGTAACGTTAGTTAATTAACAATAATTATATAATCTCTAAGCCTTATTATCGCGGCATGTCATACGCAAAGAGACTGTGTATCGTCGTTGTCATCAACATAGTCGCCCCTTTACACACACCTGCGCGCACGCACGCACGCATGCACGTAAGTACGCACGTACGCACGCACGCACACACGCACGAACGTACGCACGTACGCACGCACTCCCGCACGTACGCACACACGCACGTACGTACGCGCGCACACACACAAGTGTACATATCTATTAGGCCCCCTACTATAAAAACCATGAAAGCGGGCAGCCGTTGCTTACACAGACGTACAGACAACGTTGTCCGTCTGGCTTCAGTCTCGCGCGATGCGCATGCGCGTCGCCCATTCGGCCGCAGTTTGCACAGGAGTGTAGTTGCCGCCGCTACAGGCGAGCACAAAAACGTCGACGTTTTATCTCCGAAAACAAGTCATAAAAGCGCTATAGAGTCGGCTATTGGCGCAACGAAACGAAATCATTTGAGGAATTAAGCGCCGCTTCCTGCGGCTCGTGTAATTGAATCATTAGTTGGTGCGAGCGCGTGCTGCCTGAATAGCTCGCACTGCTGTGGTCGGGCTGCTGCGAGAGAGAGATTCGCTCACGGCAGCAGCAGCGCACACAACAAAGCGCGCATCACAAACGCGCGCGCGCGCACTACTCATCAAAAAGAAGAGTCTGCCAATTAACCTGACCGAGTCGGCGACGTGATTACAGCATGTTCGTCGCATTGTTGGGCTTACCTGCCGAAACTAAGCACGGCAATTACGTGGCGGTGCCGGCTGAATGCTGGCTCCCGCCATGCACGCTCCGCCGGCCGCGAAACCGTCTTTCCGAGCACGGAGCGCGGGTTAATTATCAGTCAAACTCAATACGATGCTTTAATAGCGATGCCGATATCAAATTATTACTGCACGTCAGCGAAATAACGCATCAAAATGATTCTTAATAAAAGGAGTTACGAACGAGACCTGAATTCATCATCGCGGTCACGCAAAGCTTTGCCGTAGCGGGGAAAATAATGGGCACGGTTCGATTTGATACCGAATCAACGGCGACGTCAGGCTAGAGGAAAAGATGTGTACACTGATACCTACACACTGTTTTCTCTTTTTTCCTTCTTTCTCTCTATCTCCACCCTCTCCCTCTCTCTATCTCTCTCTCCCTCTCTCTATCTCTCTCTCTCTCTCTCTCTCTCTCTTCCTCTCTCTCTATTTCTGTCTTCATGTGTGGCTCTGCTTCTGTCTCCCCCTCTCTCCATGTCTCTCTCTCTCTCTCTCTCTCTCTCTCTCTGTGTCTCTCTGCTTTTCTCCCCCTTGTTCTCTATCTTTCTCTTTCTCTCTGCAACTTTTATTTTTCGCATTTATGAATAATCTCTAATGTGATTTTCGTGTCCATTTGTCCGCATCTCTCGCTCGCTTACTCTCTCTCTCTCTCCTCTCTCTCTCTCTCTCTCTCTCTCTCTCTCTCTCTCTCTCTCTCTCTCTCTCTCTCT